CAGATCAGTAGAGGCTGTGGAATTAAAGAGGTACATAGAAGCTAAAGTTGAGCAAATTTGTGCGGGGGGAGATGAGAGCCCTTGACTCAAAGCTTTTGGAATTGAAAGAGATGATGGTAAGTTTTGATGCCAAGATAGAGGCTTTAAAAGAAATTTACGAAAGGCTTGAGTTTATCTTCCAGGAAGAGGTTGATGCTCCATGGTGAGTAGAAGTATACTTTAGCAACAATTGGCATATAGTTTTAGGACATGAGCTGGAGAATCGAAAAAGAATATACACACACACACACACACAAGACCCTTAGGCTTTGGAAGAACACTTGGCCTTGCTAATGCTAAGACGTTTTTTTTGTTCTTGAAGAAGTAGATCTAGGGATTCCACATAAGTTGGTTGTAATACAAATGCCTAGCATTATAATCAAATCCTTTGCTAATTTTTCTTTTCCCAAAGAATCTTCTGGGTGTAAATGTTTCTTGTTTTTCCTTCTCCTTTTAACTTAAGTGCAAGCTTAAACAAAGGATCTTTACCCTCATCCTCTAGCTATCACATGCCACTTTAGTTATATAGCTTGTAGATACCATATGGTCAAGTTCTTCTTCCGAGACCCATTATGTCAAATACAAGATATACACTACACAGTCTTGAATGATTCATGAACTGCTGCCGAAGACAATATTCAGACGTGAGCAACATTCGAAGTTCCAAGTTTCATGAATGTTTGCCATTTACTCAAGTATGTGATCATTTCAATGCACCCTTATCTGAGCATAAGATAAAGTTGCATTGCACCCGCGACACGGAAGTTATTTCCCTCAAGGAAACGAAATAGAGATATACAGCATGGGCAATCGTGGGTTGTGGACTGAACTCTTTTTATTTATTTATGAAGAAAAGGGGGAGAAAACCCCCAAACACCAACACAACAACTAACTAGTACTAATCAGACGAGCCTTAACAGCTCCCAAAGAATCATTAAGCAATAAATAGCCAAGCCAAGCAGGACTCTCCTCAAAATAGTAACAGCCTAGGTCCAGATTGTGACTCCAAGTAGCCAACCCATCAGCTACATCATTCCTCTCTCTATAGATATGTTGAAGCTTGATCCTTCGAATCAAATTCATAAGCCTTTTACAGCTACTGACCAACCCAGCATTAGGATGACAAGCATTCAAAACCTTACTCTGAAAAAGAAGCACAGCAGTCTCAAGAGTCCATCTCAACAACAATATCATCTACTTTTTTCTCAACAGCCAAGTTCAACCCAAAGAACAGACCCCATAACTCAGCTTCAAGCACTTCTCCCTGGCCTAAATTGACAGCAAAGCCACCAATCCATTGACCCAAATGATCTCTCAGGACCCCTCCAGCACCAATCGCACCAGTGCTGCCCCTGCGAGACCCATCTATATTTAACTTGTGGACTGAACGCTTGGGTAAACACTAAACATTAATTTTTGGCCAACACTTTCAAAGAAAATATATTTGTCATAAATACTCTTGGATACTAGCACATTGCATCAGTTAATAGTTGGAGTAATAGTTGGTGCATCTAGTAGTACTCAGGTTATAACAAAATCACTTCGCTAACATGCGTCGTAATTATACAAAATAAATATAACCACTTAGAGTGAAACGGTAATGTTACACGATGATTAAAAGTGATAAACGCTAATTTTACGAAGGCAGGAAAAAGGGATTCTTGCAACATGGCAACTCACTTGGTTGCATTTGTTGCCTCTAAAATGTAACACAACTTTGGTATGGGCTGATTTTCGGTTACTAGCCACCCTAGAGCTTGATGTCAATGTTTTTCATGAGGATGTGTACTGCTTTAACTTTTGAAATTGGGATCCACACTTGAGTACTCTTGTAACATCAGGAAGATAAACATTACCAGAATAAGTTCTAATGTGAAAACTTCTCAAATAGGATTATTAGTGTTAAAAATCGATAATTTCAACAGAATATCGATACTTTATTTATGTCGTATCGAGACTATATTAGGCCATTTATAATATCGGTATAATGGAATAGTATTGACAATAACATATCGAGATGACATCGATATAATAGATCTATTTGAGAAGAGTGCTACAACAAAAGTCCTTTTTCATAGCTTTTCCCAATTCTAGTTGTAACCGGTGAGCCATTTTAAGTTGATTTTCAATCAATAATGGTAACTTTTTT